CTTGACCTTGACTCTTTCTTCTCCCTGTTTGCAGCCTAATGTGCTTGGGCAAGTCATTTAAGCTAACTGAACCCGAGTGTTATCAGCAATGTTGTTAGGTGCTGTGAATCTAGTACGACCCTTCTAGATCTGAGCCCTTTCCTATCCTGTGCCATCCTCACATTTCCTGGCACACTGGAGCCCATTATTGCAGTCACTGTGTCAAGGGTCCTCTCCTTCACTGACCCTTCACCTTCCCCAGCACAGTGTCCCTCTCCAATAAACAGCCTCTTCTAGCAGCATGCCTGAAGTGTGTGAGGCAAAGCTTTATCATCTTTGTCTCCAGGGAGCACTCTGGCTGCACTTTCTCAAGACATACTTAATTTTTTTTGGCAGTCCATGGGATGTTCAGTACTCTTCTCTAACACCACACCTCAAAAGCATCAATTCTTCTGTCATCCTTATTCATTGTCCAGCTCTCAGATGCCTAGCAAGTGAATGGAAAGACCATGGCCTGAATCTGAGCCTGCAGTCAGGGACCTCTCTAAATTATTGGGGAGCAATGTCACTTGATCAGCAATAAAATGGGAATAATTCTCTAGAATTAAATCTCTTTACAGATTCAGTCATTAGAAGAAGAAAAAGCATAGCTAACTTTTAGTGGAGGAAGCCTTGGGCTCCTATCCCTGGGCTCTTCAGGAGAAAAGGCCTAATGGCCTGCTTTTGTAAAGGTGACAGCTTTGAGAGCTTCGCTATGAGTCAGAATCAACTCAATGGCATACAGCAACCTCCTTTTATTGAGAGCTTCCACAACACTGTTCTGATCTCTTCATGCCCTTAAGCACAAAGGGCGGGCCATTCACCAGTGGCTTGTGCATTTGCTTGGGCAGTTGTTAGAAATGCAGAGTCACAGGCCCCACCCACACCGGCTGAAGTGGACTGTGCCTGTCAATATCCCCAGGTTTGTGTGTGAGTTTGAGACATGCTACTTTACATACTTTGGCTCATTTAATCTGAAAAGTGATCTAGGTATTACCATCTTCTGTAACCATTTGTGAAAACTGAGACCCTGAGTGATGGCCAAATGCTCTTTCTCCTCCCAAATCACCCCCCAGCCCCCACCCCACTTCTCTCTTTTGTCTGGGCTGGAGTTGGGGAGAAAGATGTGGCTCCTGACAGATTTGGGGAAGACAAAACTATGTGTCCTCCATTCACCATGTATTAGCACAGCTGGACAGAGGCTAGTTCCCCAAAGTCATTCCACAAATACCTCCTAAGCCATTCATGTCCTGTCCTTGGACAACTGTGGGAGCAGGAAAGGCATTCTCCATTGATGGCACCTGCAAATTAGCAAGGACTCTGCTCTGAAGGTTAGGTGGAAGGAGGGGCTCAGCCCGGAGGGACCAGTCAGTTTCCTTCATCCACAGGGCTTAGTGAAGTCCACCCTGTCAGTTACTGGGACAAGTCACTAGGACATCCAGGTCTAAGTGACTTTATTAACAAATATTCAAGAGCACCTGCTATGTGCCCAGTCTAGAGAAGTATCCTAAATTTCCTCCAACTCTAATCTTCTCATTTTAGAGAAAAAAAACAAACAAACAAACCAAAACACAACAAACCAAACAATAAACAAACACCTAGAAGCCAACAATTACAATATATTTATTTCTTAGCATGTGACCAACTATGTTAAGCAATTTACATGTATTGTTTCTTTTGACTGTCATCTTCCTCCTTGATAAAATGGGATATTATTGTGTTGGTTGCCATCCAGTTGCATCTAACTCATGAGTTCCGATGTGGACAAAGTATAACAAAATTCTCCAAAGGCTTTTCCTGGCATTTTGGTGGCAGAACACCAGACAGAACTCTATCTTCCAGTGCTTCTAGGTGGGTTTGAACCTCCACCCTTTGAGCTTCTAGTCCAGCACTGAATACCTTCTCTTAGGGTCACTATGAAGATAGCTTAATATTTGTCAAATGTCTGGCACATTGTAAAGACCAAACTAGACCAGTTGTAATTGAAGTTTATGGTGACCTGATGTGATTTAGAGTAGAACTGTGTTCCATGGGGTTGACAGTAGTTGGTTTTTTGCAAAGGAGATCAGCAAAGTTGTTGAATTGTCTTTGGTGCCATCAAGCTGACTGTGGCTCAAGGAACCCTGTGAACAAACCTGTTCTCTGCTGTGCCATCTCCATGATCTCTGAACTACTTGAGCCCGTTGTTACAGTTACTGTGTCAGTTCCTCTCATTGAGGGCCTTACTTTTCACCCACCCTCTGTGGTACCCAGCATGCTGTGGTTTTCCAAGAACTAGTCCCTTCTGACAACATACACAATGTGTGTGAGATGGAGTTTGACCATCCTGGCTGCTAAGGAGCGCCCTGGTTTCACTTCCTCCTAAACAGACTTGTTTGTTCTTTTGGCAGTCCATGGGTGCCAGCACCAAAGTTCAAAAGTGTCAGTTCTTCTTTGGTTTTCCTTATTCATTGTCCAGCTTTTCACATGCATATAAAGCAATTGTTGTTGATTGCCTTGAGTAGAGCGTGACTCATAGCAACCCTATGAACAAAAGGCCTGAAGCCTCTCTATAACTATCAACATTTATCAAAGTTCATAGAGTTTTATCAAGTGGAAGTGGAGGCCACTTCTGCTTCCAATATGAAGCAATTGAAAGTAGGAAATGTTTATGAAAGAAATGTAATAACTACAAATAACCTCCCATCAAGACAGGTACTACTATTGTTTTCATTTTTTCAGATTACGAATTGGTGTCAAAGTGGGGAAGGGACCTCACCTCCCAGGGTCACTGGAGATTGGAATGAATGTGAATTTCCCAGCTTTTAAATACCTATAGTTCAATTCAGGAAGCTCTGGTGGCATAGGCCATGGGGGTTTTGCACTGCCAACCCAAAGGTGGCAACTTTCTGACAGTTCGAATCCACCAGCCACTCTGCCAGAGAAAGATGGATGATTTTCTCCAGTGCCATTTACAGCCTCCAAAAAATGCACTGGAGGATCAGCTATGAGTCAATTCCAATTGACTCGACAGCCATGAGTGAATGTCTTAGGTAAATTCAATTGATTGATTGTCAAATGAGTGAGAGGTATGGGAATAGCATTCCAGCATTCACAAAGGCCTAAAGCCAAAACCCACACCCACTTCCCTTGAGTCTGTCCCATGACAGTCCTCCATGGGCTTTCCAGGTTTGTATTGTGTATCTTTATGGGAGGAAACTGACCATCTTCCTCCTGCACGTGCCCAGTAGATTTGAACCACTGACCTTACAATCTGAGGTGTTATCTACTACCTCATCAGGGCTCCTAGAGGCAAGAAAGTGTGCCCTCTGTTCCCTTGGGAGGCTGCTGTCCAGTTTTCAGGAGTCTTGGAAAGACTGTGGAGGTCTGTAGTAATGAAATGGGAAAGGCCAGGCCCAGCCTTCTTGCCACTAAAGATCCCCAGTGTTCTCAAAGACTTGGCTCCAGTCCAGCAGGGAATTGTTGATAGGATTATTCCATCATCTTACTTGCCCTTTCTTCATGTCAAGAAATAAAAAAAGACCTTTATAAATGTCCCGTTAGAGCATCTGGTCAGTGTGTGATAACCAGGGTCGTTGACGGGAATTTGGGCCAAAAGCAGAGACTGGATGTCTTTGATTAACTGGGCGGCCTTATTGCCCACACATGTACGATTTCCTTCCGTCAGTCTTTTTTCAGCGTTGATAACTCTGGACAAGGCACAAAGCAGAGACCAAGCACAGCATCTAATTCTCCCTCTCTGGTTTATCAGTTGTGTGGCCTTAGGCAAGCCTCTATTTCCTCCTTTGTCCTCCTCCATGTCTGATTTAAAGACCAAGTATTGTAATCTGCAACGAAGGTGTAATTGGCAGCGATGATGTAATCTGCAGTGGTGATGTCAAATTTGGAAGTCCCAGTGGCCAAATGCATTACAGGTTGTGCTGGTTATTGAAAGATTGGTGATTCAAGTCTACCATCCACTCCTTGGGGGAAAGATGGGGCAGTCTGCTCCCGTGATTATTTATGGACTACAGTGGTTTTAGTTTTAGCCACAGGCAACTATTGACATTTAAAATTTAACTCATTAATATTAAATTTTTAAATACAAAGTTCCGTTATTCATTTGCACCGGCAACCTTTCCGGTGCTCCATAGCCTCAAGAGGCTGGTGGCTTCCTCACTGGAAAATGCAGATAGAGAGCATCATAGCAGAAAGTCCCACTGGGCAGTGGTTTGTGCCTGGAGTGGTGGGTGCACAGTGATTGCCTCAGTAAAGAGTTGCTGTTGTTCTGCTGTCCCTTGTTTCTGGGGTGGGTTTGGGAGGTCTGTGATACTTCTTGGCCTTGATGGAAGGGGGATAGGATTGCACCTTGTTTCTCCCTCTACAGCTGAGGTCATCTCACTATGACTCCCCTGAAAACCCAGGCCAAACCTGTAGCCCATTGAATCAATTCTGGCTCGTGACAACCCCATGTATTACAGAATAGACCTGCTCTGTGCATTCTCTGGCCTGTAATCTCTATGGAAAGCCAGGCCTTTCCCCCACAGCACATCTGAGTGGGGCCAAAGCACCAACCTTAAAGTTAATCTCACCATCTCATCTCATCTCATAGGCATTGAGTTGGAACTTTCTGACCTTCTAGCAGGTTTCTGAGGCTTTAAATCCCATAGGAGAAGATTGCCCATCTTTGGTGGGTTTGAACCATCAGAGAGGCTTGGCCTTTGGATTAGAAGCACAATTCACTATGAACTAGGCCCCCAGGGCACCCTTTCAAGTTAATAGTCCAGTATGAATTGTTTGTGCCACCCAGGGATCGTCCCTCCTCTAACAGAACCTATAATATTGAAAAAAAATATCTGTGACTTTGCTTCATTCAGCCCACTCTTCCTCTTTGAATTTCCCCACCCACTCCCCTCAGCCTTTCTGCTTATTTCTCCTCCAGCTGCTGGCATCTGAACTCATCGTGTTCAGCCTCCACCATTCTCACTGCCCATTCCTGGGGAATGGGGGTACGAAAGGAGGCCTCCCTGACAGTCCCCAGTGTCCAGCTCCCAGCAGAGGTACGGGCTGCCGGCCCCTCGCAGCAGGGTGGAGATACTTTGTTGTGACGGGGGCACTGGGCAGCCTGCCCACTCCAACACGCCCATATCGGGGTGCCAAGCATGCTGTTTGCACTTGGCCTGGGCCTTAGAGTCTGGCCCAGTGCCCACAAATGCTGGCCTGCTTTGGCACCCCTGGGAACAAAGGCTGAACGTGGGCTTCTCTGCCTGATGGAAGACATAAGGATTCATTCTGGAGCTGGGTTCTGGTACTTTGGGGTTGAAGCTTGGCAGACACCAAGAGCTGAAGTGCTGTGCAGAGTTCCTGGCTGTGTCTTGGCCCTGTGTCTGACTGAGGACAAGAGGTAGGCAGAAGGATGGTTCAGGTTGGTTGGTTCACCACCCATCCTTCACACCAGACAGAAGGAGGAGGAGCCAATGGGAAAAGGGGTAGGAGAAGCTTGGGGGCCTCTGAGACATACATAAGATCACATCCCAGAATCATATTCTTCCCGCCTCCCTTCTTCTAGCCTCATCAGTGGAGGTGCTGCATGGAACAGGCATCGATGGTGCATTAACTGATGAGGACATTGAGAGTCAGAGAGGATGGAACATATCTCAGATCACATAGCCAGTCCATGGAGGACTCAGAACTCTGATTTGAATGCTTCCCGATTTGTCTACTCTGCCCATCTCGTCGCAGCTCTAAGGACAGTAACCCCTGGATACTGCTGAGGATTTGAACCTTGGTCTGACGACTTACACCTCTGTGGCCTTGGGCAATCCTTTTCCCCTCTGTGGGCCTCATGCTCCTCATCAGGGGAGTGGGGATAATTATACAGACATGCCTCCTTTTATTGTGTTTTGCTTTACTGTGCTTCAAAGATACCACATATTTTACAAATTGAAGGTTTGTGAGTTGAGCAAGTCTGTTGGTGCCACTTTGCTAACAGCATATGCTCACTTTGTATCTCTGTCTCACATTTTGGTAATTCCCAGTTTTCCAAACATTTTCATAATGCTGTTGTACACTTAATGTTGTTGTTGTTGTTGATTGCCTTCAAGTCAAGCACAACTCATAGTGACCCTATGAACAAAAGGCCTGAAGCCCCTTTACAACTATTGACATTTATCAAAGCGCATAGAGTTTGCACCATCTAGGGACTCACACTTGCTTTGCAGCTTTGTTAAATGTCCCCTTCCCTGTGTAAGCTACCCTCTGTCTAGCCTCTCCTCATCTTCCTCATCTTTTTAGCACTATCTTCATTTACCCTATAATTGTTTTATCTGTTAGTTTATGGGCTCTGATGGCACGATGAGTCTCACAGGAACTCCATGATGGAAATTTACTGTCACCTCTCTAGCAGAGATTTGGGGCATTTCTTCAATGACTTGCCCAAGGCCATCTAACCAGCAAGTGGCAGGGCTGGGCTCCCAGCTGGGCTCAGTGCTACCCCAGAACTCACTGTGCTGCCTCTTCCATTGGATAAAGGTCAGAACCTTTACTTAGACGTGGGGCTCAGGATCCATGTTTGAAGGATTGACTGGATAGGAACTCTGGTGGTGTAGTGAACAATGTACTGGGCTGCTAACCGAAAGGTTAGCAGTTCGAATCCATCAGCTGCTCCAAAGGAGAAAGATGAGGATGCTCCTATGAGTCAGAAGCAATGGGTTTGGCTTCTTGAGTTTTCAGTTTGTTCAGGATCCTCTCTTCCCTCCAGCCTTTTCTTCTCCTATTATTGGTCAGTTATCACTGGGCCCACTGCCCTGTAATGACAGATTTCATCTGATTGGAGAGATCAAGAGGCCACCTGAAGGCCCCAGACAGCCTGGGAGTTGAGCCTGGGCCCCTGGCTGTCCCTGGGCTGTCTGGGGCAGGTGTACAGGATGTTTCCTCAGGCAGCAGACATTCCTGGTTGGAAGTGACAGGCATCAGGGAGATTTACCATTTCCGGAAACCTGAGTCCCTCAGAGGTTGCCTGCTCCCTGCCAAGAATACACGCTTGTCCCTTGCCACCTCTTCCTGCCATTTTCTTGGCTGAGTCTTTGTGGTACAGAAGGGCCAGCTGTAAGCCGTAGAGGGCCTCAGACCCTAGACACCCCCAACAAAAAAGGCCTAGCCCTTCACTCTCCCAGATCCTCATTTTTATGGCCACTTACCCTGCCTTGGGGAGTCTGTGTCCCCAAAGAAAGGAAGGAGGGGCATTGTGGAAGGTGAAAGACTGGATCCAAGACCGGAGTTCTTAACTAAGCAGTTACAGTGGGCCTGGTATTGTTCATTGAACTCCACACACAATATACATTTATCCTCCCAACAACTTTATATGTAGGCCTAATAATAGCCCTATCATATGAATGAAAAAAAAAAGTCTCAAAGAGGTAAAGTCACCCATTGGCCAGTTAAGTGTCAGAGATAGGATTTGAACCCAGATCCTCCAGCACTGGTTGGTTCTTCTTGATGAAGTGGGTTTTCTGCTCTGGGCCTTGGGTTCCCTTTCTTTTGCGTGAGGACGTTGGGCCTGGTGTTGAGCTCCATGTTGATATACTGGGTTGTTTTGGTTTGGGGTCTTTTTTGTTTGTTTGTTTGCAATGAAAATAAATATCTTACTGGTTTTCATTAATTCACTTAAATACGGTCTGTTTTATAACACTGATTCCAATTGTACAATGCCATTATTTAGCTCTGGTTGAAACCTCCCTGCCCTTCCCTTTCCCTTCACCCTCCCATCCTCTCGCTGATCACTGATGTCTGCCCCATCTCCCTTTCCTCTGTCCCCTCCCGTCTCTCTCAACCTCCTCAGTTGTTTCTGTGTGTAAACCTTTCCTCACTCTTTTATTCCTTGTTGGTATAGCCTTGAGGGGGTGGAACAGGAATTATTTGGGGATGTGGAGGAGAGAAAGTTCTGGAGAGGTCACTCTTTGGGTGTGTGAAGGAATAGGTGTGGGAGAGAGGAAAGGAAAAAGTGACCATTGTAGTAAAAGTGCAAGAAATGCAGCTCTTGTAAAAGAGGACTGACATCAGGGTTGAGGGGAAACTAAGAAACGAGGGAGTAAGTAATGTATATTGCATGTAAACAGATGAGGGAAAGAACTGCTTAAAAGGAATATAGGATTAGGTATTATTTGTATGATAACAGTCCAGAATAAGAGCTGTGGACATTACCAGAGGAAAGTGGACTGAGGTTGGGGTGGGGAATGGTATAACAATGAAAGAATTTTTTTTTTCTTTTCAAAGAGAAAAGCGAACTGGGAGGGGGACAAGGAGTGAATGGAAATCCAAGTTCTCTATAAAAAGAAATGCAGCCAGAATGCTTGGTAGAAGTGGGGATGGGGAGACTTGATCTCACATACTTTGGACATGCTATCAAGAGGGACCAGTCTTTGGAAGAGGATATCGTGTTTGGTAACGTAGACAGTCAGCAAAAAAGGAAGACCCTCAGTGAGATGGATTGGCACAACACTGATTGTTGGATTGGCCTGGGACTGCCAGTGATTTGTTCTGTCACACATCGGATCCCTCTAAAATGGAGCAATCCCAGAGGAGAATGGTTCGAATCCACCAGATGCTCTTCTGGAAGAGAGACAATCTCCTCCTGTACCAGTCAGATCCAATTTGACAGTACATACAAAATAATAAAAATAAAATAAAATTTTAAAAAGTGATAGAATGGAGCTGACCTGAAGTCACCTAACAGTATTCAGAACAAACATCCTACACTGGGATTTTGGAAGCAGGAGTGGCATCCACTACCTAAACAATAAGCCTCAGAAACTATGAACTTTGATAAGTGTCAATAGCTGTAGAGGGGCTTCAGGCATTTTGTTCATGGAGTCACTATGAGTCGTGCTCACCTCAAAGACAATCAACAACAGCAACACACTGGGCTTAGTTCTTAGATTATCCACCTGAGTCTTTATCGT